GTCTGATTAATTGAATTTTGATTCGTATTGCATTCAAATCAAAATCGAACACCTATTTTGCTATAATATTAGGGGTAATCCGTATCTGAAAATAGGGTGTAATGTAAATAGTTTTGAGAGGAATGTTGGTGGTCGGTTGGCTAAATCTATTTGAGATCGTCGAATGAACTTATTGAAACATGCTCTATTTTATTGTATAGATGTATGTATGTGAAAGCATTATGTCTACATCAGATTTTGGGCGAATTGTATTTTGTGTCACGAAAGATTTCAAAATTTTTATTTTATACCTTCATAAATTAAATTTTTTATATTATCACTTAATGTATCAAAATTATTATAATTTGATCATCTATTAGCTTTTTGTTAGTTTGTTCATCAGTATCAATGAGTCAATTTTTGACAAAAAAAAATAATATAAACTAACAAAAAAATTATATTATAACACTTTTGATATATCGAGAGTATGATATAAAAAATTTAATATTTAAAAATATAAATAAAAATCTTAAATATTTTCACGGTGTTGAGTGCGAAAAACCCTAATATTTTTTTATAAAAAGTGAGCCCATATTCACATAGTATTTTAAGTCATGGTGGTTGGAAAGTAAGTTCCTACAGCCGCCCAAGCAGACCATTAAAAAAAACAGGATATGCTAGTACGATGCCACTCCAAATGAATCTTAGGTGTAGTAAACATGATTACGACATTTAATATTCTGTGTTATTATTCGTACAAATTTTTTTATTCTTATTGTTCTTGTTAGGGGACACTGATGGAATGTTTTATGCGCTAATTACGTGTTTTAAATCATCAAAATAATACAATAGGAGTTAGATGGAACATTGGAACGTCGGCATGGCACGAACCAAACTAAATGTGATAGCAAGAGATCAACAAGCGGAGTTCGACAAATTAGAAACTCCCACAAGGTCGAGAGTGAGATTGAAATACCAAGTCTATGTCCTTAGTCCCGCAATGCAATGTGTGCAAAAAAGGGGGGGGAAAACAATATTTTTTGACTATTTATGCTATAGCCTTACATTAACCATGAAGACGTGTTTTAGTACTCTGAACTTTCGTAGTTCAAGAAGTTATTAAAGAGTTCTACGAGAGAACAACATAACAAAGACCAAGAGGCCATAGAAAAACATGCTAGACCATCTGTGATATTTTCACCAAAATCATAAGGACTTGTTTGATAAGGGGGTACGGAAAGTTTGACAAGATGAGTTTGAAAAAAATAATTTAAAAGACTCTCAAATTTCATTGAAATTGTAAAGATTTCTACAAATTTGATAAACATATTACTGAAATTGAAAATATTCCCACAAATTTAGTAAATATACCACTAAAATTATAAATATTTCCACAAATTTGATAAATGTTCCCACAAATTTTATAATTTTATTCATTACTGTTGTAAAATTTTCACTAATATTATAATTTTGTTCATTATAGTCGTAAACTTCTCACTAATGTTGTAATTTTGCCCTCAATTAACTTAATGACAGCTCAAAAATATGTCTTGTCTTGCCTACCAATCAGTGTAAATATACCATAAATTTAATAAACATACCATTAATGTTGTAATATGAAATTTTCGGTATGACACCGAAAATACCCTTGGATGTACCGTAGCCTTCTCCTTTTTTAAAAGTATAAATTACAACTTATAAATAGGGGTGGCTCAACAACATTTGGGGCCTAAAACAATGACAGCCAATGAAATTTTTTATTTTCTTATTAATAATTTAATTTTTAAATTTAAAATCTATTATTTTTACTTTTTGATGAGATTCGAAATTGTTAATTATAATTGCTAATAATATGATTTTTGATCATAAATATTTATAAGAATAAAATTAATTTCTTCATTAATATTTTTATGTTCTTTCTATTTGTTTTATATTTTCTTTATTGAAATTGTGGTATTAGATGATTGACTATATTATAAATAAATTCATTGTTATATTTCTTTTGGATTATTTCACTATCTTTGAATTTTCCTTATTTATCTATGTAACTTTCACGTAAATTTTTTTTATATTTTATTTGTAACGAATAAGAATTTTATCAAAATATTTTTTTAATGAGAATAAATGGTTTAATTAATATTTTGCGTTCAAATGAAAAAAAAAAAAAACAAGTTTAATAGAAGTAGAGAATGTGTTTGATTTTTTTATTTTAACTAAAAGGAAATGTTTATTATACTTCTTTTGATTAGAGAAAGAGAAAAATTTTATCGGCATTTTTTTTTTTGTTAAGCTTTTTTTGTCCTTTAATAAATGTGATTGTGTGACGTGGTCTGAACTTTTGGTTATTGATTTACTCTTCCAAAATTTATTTTGTTAGGCTATATTGTAGTAAATTTTATTTTTTAGCTTATATTACATAATTGATTTTTAAATTTAGGGCATTTTTCATATGTGGGGCCAAAAGTCCACACTTTCATTTTTATACTATAAAGTCGGCCCTGATCATAGAAGGTTAAAATCGATACCAAAAATTATAATTTTCAAATTTAAGTTACAATTTTTGAAGATTAAATTATAATATTTAAGAGAAAAGTTACAACTATTTTAGAAAAGTCTATGATGACTTCTGCGATCATATCTTTTCCCCGAACGGTTATAATTTTTGGTACCGTAGACTTCCCCTATCTTTTGGCCACAGCTTGCCCACATCTTCCAGAAACACCTGAAAAGTATAATGACTCCATAAAGTTGAGGAGTCACCCACTTTTACGGTAAATTTCTACGAGCCTGCAAATTGAGAATAACAAGTGCTATTGCCACACTATTAACTTGTAGTGTGCTCGATTTGACAACGACGATAAAAATAGAACTATTTATCACGTATATCTTCCAGAATCTCTCTATAGGAGGTAACACTTTGGGCCTGTTTGAATGAACATTTTGTGAGGATTTAAATTGATTTTTTCAAACTCTTCTAAACTTAAACCCTTCTCTACACAAATAGAATTTCACATTGAATCCAGTTCGTATTCATATTTGGTATACAACACATACACATAANGTTATATTGTAGTAAATTTTATTTTTTAGCTTATATTACATAATTGATTTTTAAATTTAGGGCATTTTTCATATGTGGGGCCAAAAGTCCACACTTTCATTTTTATACTATAAAGTCGGCCCTGATCATAGAAGGTTAAAATCGATACCAAAAATTATAATTTTCAAATTTAAGTTATAATTTTTGAAGATTAAATTACAATATTTAAGAAAAAAGTTACAACTATTTTAGAAAAGTCTATGATGACTTCTGCGATCATATCTTTTCGCCGAACGGTTATAATTTTTGGTACCGTAGACTTCCCCTATCTTTTGGCCACAGCTTGCCCACATCTTCCAGAAACACCTGAAAAGTATAATGACTCCATAAAGTTGAGGAGTCACCCACTTTTACGGTAAATTTCTACGAGCCTGCAAATTGAGAATAACAAGTGCTATTGCCACACTATTAACTTGTAGTGTGCTCGATTTGACAACGACGATAAAAATAGAACTATTTATCACGTATATCTTCCAGAATCTCTCTATAGGAGGTAACACTTTGGGCCTGTTTGAATGAACATTTTGTGAGGATTTAAATTGATTTTTTCAAACTCTTCTAAACTTAAACCCTTCTCTACACAAATAGAATTTCACATTGAATCCAGTTCGTATTCATATTTGGTATACAACACATACACATAATTATCAATAACTATTTTATCCCTTGATCAATTCAATTCATACTCATGCTAAGGAATACAATTATTTTTTTTTATCCTTAACCCTTTAACTCATTTTTTCAAACTCAGACCCCCTTGGACCTGTTTAGTATGCAAGTTTGGGGGATTTTGGAACAATGGTTGGGGAATAAACCCTCTCAAACCCATATTTAGTAAATACACATTTAACCCAAAGTTTGAAACTCAACCCGATCATGAAACTCATGGGGGTGTTTCATATGTGGGTTAATGGGTTTTAACATTCAAATGACATTTATACTCCCTATATATCCTATATACCCTATAGACAAACATGTGTTAAGGGACACAATAATCATTTATATACAAATATATTGTCATAATAATTATATATTTTTACGCATACCAAACATGGGTATATGAACAATATTAAATGTTAAATCTCATCTTTCGGTTTGGAAGGATTTAGACAACTCAATCCAAACCCCTCCTTTAAAATAATACCTAATAGGCCCCTTATGTTTTGACGAAACTCATGATCATAGGTTTAATATCCGGACCGGTTGCTAATTGAGTTTGGTAACCCAGGATTAAAATTTTACCCCAAACATGGGATTTTGAAGGTCCTTTTAGACTGTTTTCCCCAAACTCTAATTGCCCCCAAGCCCACAAAACAAACAGGCCTTGTACATTAGACATAATTTTTCATTACAAAACCTGTAAACGTCGAGTATAACCATAAGCATCCGACGAGAGCAGCCGAGTGTCCCTGCTAGACACTAACCAATCAGTAAGTAACGATAGTAATGAAAATTTNTGTAAACGTCGAGTATAACCATAAGCATCCGACGAGAGCAGCAGAGTGTCCCTGCTAGACACTAACCAATCAGTAAGTAACGATAGTAATGAAAATTTCAAACTGAAATGAAGTATTGTGCTTTGTTTCCCTTCCTGATTTTGAGAACATATAAAAGAAGAAATAAAATAGAGTTACAAGCCCTGGGAAAGAGAAAAAGAAAAGGAACCCACTTACCAATCTTTTTTTATGAACAATAGCAACTAAACAAACTCACTCAGCAGTTAAAAGAGTATCAAAGTAACATATCAACACTATATCACCAGGTACCATCCAGAGCAACAGCAAACATAAAGTAGCAGCGACCTCATGCTCACACGGGTATGTGAGAGAGGTAACCAACTGAAGCACAGAGATCACCAGATTATTCGGGTAGCGAAAAAAAAAATTCTGGTGTTTGCCACTTGAAGGCTATAGCAGCTTCATCATAACCTCAACCAATCCAAACATGGGCATAGCCCCCAGCAAAACCTAGAAGGATAGTAGTCCTTCAAGTAGACCTCTCTGCTGAAACCAATAATATAGAAGCTGAAAGACTGCCCACGATGAGTCATTGTAACACGAGTCATTGGGACGACAGATATGGTATGCCTCTCGCATATGACCCTTGCAGTGGGAGGTACAGGAGCCCTTTCTGCAATTACTTCAGAAGAGAACTTGTTGAGGAAGAACGAATCAGCAAAAAAGGCAGGAGCGCACTGATATGCCTGAGTGTTGCACAACTGGACCCCTTTGGCTCTGTGGAACACATCATCTGGAACAGAGGCTGCTCCACTTGTTGCACTTACTTTTCTAGTAGAAAGTGTCTTCCTACAGAGGCAAAAATATCGATCGATCATCTTTCCATCAAACTTATTGAAGAGAGCATACGGTGACCCAGAATTTCTCATTAAAACAAGATATTTGCATTAAAATCACAGGTAACGTCTGTTGAGTTTTGTATGATATGAACCAAAACCAAAACCAAAACAAAGCTTAACTTGAATAAAAACAAATCATGATACGTGCCATGTGATAGTCAAGAAACTGTACGATTGTACTCATCAGACAAACCACACTTCAGTTAAAGAATCCTTTTCGATTCTCCTTTTATTGCATGCAGGATTTAGTGCATCAGCCACAGAGGATCAAGTGTGCCATATGAGTTCCGAATTCAGCACACAAACATTTAAACTCCAAACAGCACATGTTCAAAGCCCGACTCCAGTGACCCGTCTATTTTTATACGACACCAAGAATATAAAGCGCACACAGACCCTGGCTACCTCGAATATTATGCCTATGAACAAGTTTTTCTTGGTACACAAAATGGATATGTAGATTAGGTCACTCCACATATCCACGCTACTATATGAAGGAGACCCCACCCACACCTATGTCAGGGCCGAAGCTAAGGTCACACCGCATGCTCTAGACGCTGAAGAGTAAGTTTAGCCTGACCAAGCTGCCATAGCTGTGGAGACTTGAAACCAAGGATTGAGTGAGGAAATCCGAACACTTACCCACTAAACAAACTGCTCGGTGGTGCCTGTGAGCAATTTTATAAAGCATGCAGAAAGTTTTGAAATATATGACGAGAAGGGAATTCATATCATCATATACAAAAAATCAGATGGAAATGCCCATTTACTCTTCATATGCCATTGACTACCTCTCTCTCTTTACATTGGGTAGGTGTATATTGCAGCGCAGGGGTAAAATGTTTACTTTGTGTCAATTGATGACCTTTCTGCCTTCTGGAAGTATGACAAGGTAGGCATGTTTCCATAAAAAAGAAATATACATACCATCTAACAACAACTCCCTTGCGCGTTAGTAGAGAACCACCACCTTGACATGTCTCACATTTGATTAGTCCACAAGATCCGCAAGTTGCACAAGGAATCTTTCCCTTACCAGTACATTTCACACATCTGAAGACATAAAATCCTTTAACATTCTATTGTAGAACAGAAAACATAAATGATTCCAAAAATCAAAAAACCAACAGTGCAGCCACCATATAATTAACAATCAGGCAAAAGAGTCAACAAGCCAAATTACCTGTCACTATAATTGGACATATATCAGTATATTTTTAGTTAATGACGTGCAAATGATAAAAAGAAGACAATAAGACTACTTGAGCAATAAAGTTAAAGCTTCAAACCAACTAGCAATAAAAACTGATTGCATTTTAAATCATCATCAATAACTAAAATAGATACTAAAATAGTAAACAGCTCACATTGTGTCAGATCCATCCCTGTGAGCAATTAGACCCCTTCCATAGCAAGCAGGACATTGAGCCATCTGGTTTTCCTTGTAGAATCCAGGCTCTTGATCTGCATTGCAAGTAGGACACATTCGATTTCCTTGTCCTGCACAAACTGCGAACATGAGAAGGATAAATCACTACTCAACAATACTGGCTGCTATCATATGGAAGACCATTTTCTCATAAACAAGAAAACAACATGAAGATTACATGTANGAGCCATCTGGTTTTCCTTGTAGAATCCAGGCTCTTGATCTGCATTGCAAGTAGGACACATTCGATTTCCTTGTCCTGCACAAACTGCGAACATGAGAAGGATAAATCACTACTCAACAATACTGGCTGCTATCATATGGAAGACCATTTTCTCATAAACAAGAAAACAACATGAAGATTACATGTATATAAGGATTNTATCATATGGAAGACCATTTTCTCATAAACAAGAAAACAACATGAAGATTACATGTACATAAGGACACAAGTGTAAGAGAGGATACTCTTTAAAGAGCAACTATGCCAATAGCAATTACCTGAGCATTTTTCAATAGCTTCAGAACGAGGAATCTTGGCCCGTGATTCTTTATGAGCTACAAATAGGACAGGAAATTCAGACCTCAAATCCAATTCCCAGATTCCAAGTTCAGGCCCCTTATCCTTTCCATCGATACTGCCACCAAGGTATGGTTCAGTTTCTATTACTGTTTCCCTCTCTTCTATAAAAGTTTCAAGAGTCCCAATGTAAACATTGCAGTCTTCTACTGCATGGATCTGCCAGGTCCGAGCTGGACGACTTCCCCAACAGCAACGATGACCAACATGGTCAATGAGTAGTTCACGGATCTCTACTTCATCCAATATCTGCCTATACAGATTTTCGATTAAATCAAGATGCTGTTGCAAACATAATGCTTCAGATTGTCATATGCAATAAAATACTATGATGAAACTCATATAAACAAAGGTCACCAGTGCAAAATGTCTATGTTATCAGCATAACACTGTCCACGAGTTAACCCATCATTCATGGTCCAAATAAAGACATGTTATTTTCATTTTTGGCTGAGCCAATAAGGCATACAATCAAATCATTTCATTAGTAATCAATCATCTTGGGAGAAAAAACTAGTAACTCAGAGAATAAAAAGAAAAAGACAATCAGCCTAGTGCACAAGGCTCCCGCCATGCGGGGTCTAGGGAGAGTCAGATGTCCTCAACTTCACCCCCCCATGCAAAGAGATTATTTTCGCGAATCAAACCCTTGACGTCCAGGTCACAATAAACAACTTTATCGCTGCGCCAAAGTCCACTCTCACAAAACAACAAAGCATGCATGACCTACATAGAGAGGTTGCCCCCATTTTGTCATGTCATTCAAACATAGCATGTCGAAGTCAAAACCACATCGTCCACCTTCACGACTTTTTAAAGCTTGTCATTTGCAGTAATTAATGACGGCTTGATATGGCCAGAAATTAATACACAATTTTAAGAATTTGTGCAGAAACACGTGAAAACCCAGGCCTGGAAAACCATACTCCCTATTACCTGCGAACATCACCAGTGGTCCCGCTTAATTCTCCATAATATCCACCCTGATAGACAATAGCTTGCTCTGCAAAAGGAGACCATGATGTTTCATCCAAGAAATAAGCCTTATAAGATATACTGAGAACATGTAAAGAAATCACGTGTTTCATCGAAATTAGAAAAAGCTGACATTTCAAAAGGCATGATTTACCTTAAGTGAACAATGTAAATAAATCCCAGTATTCTTAAACTCTTCCACCTCCAATAAAAATTTACGTATTTACCATTTATTCTCTACAAAAGAATCGTCATTTATCTGACCAAAAAGATAAAGTTTGGTTCACGGTTTCATTTCTCCCAAATCTAGTGATGCACACCATACTTAAGAAAGATATCACTGTAATATAACGCTGGAGCTGGTCCGAAAGGTTAGCTGACCTTAGTAGAGGCCCAATAACATTAATGAACTAGTGTTTAATCGGGTATGGAAACAAAACTGTGGCATGGGTACAACCCAAACAAGATTGCACTTCTTATAATTTTCTTCTTTCTATGGTCTTTCACGAAAATACTAGGGAGTGATAATAAAAAACCAGGATTTGGCTAGCATTGTTGGGCATGATGAATGTCTGTCTAATCAACTAGACACAATTGACCACAAAAACAACTTAAAGAAGCCCATCTGTCAAGAAGTCTTCCTACACTCTAACAAATTTTATTTTTTTTTGAGAATTTAAAAAGGCCCAACAAGAATAACTTAGATTGACATTAAACAATCAACTTTGTTTTAACACTATGCACAGAAAAATGAAATAGAAAATTTTTTAACCAAAAATTATTTGTTTGGTTGCCTCAAATGTCGATTTTTTTCTGATCAAACAAACAAAACCCTCAACCTAACCAGCCTAATGCAATGTTTATTTCAGCCTAAGGTACAATTCTCATTCCTCAGAACAACATAAAACATACAATTTAAAACATTAACAACCACTCATAGGTGTGTGCAATTGGGAAGAATGAGGGTGGAGTACCATTAGGTTCGGGCTCGGGAGAGCTAAGCAAAGGGGCATGGAGAGAAGGAGGGTAGCGATCAGAAAGAGCAGCGGCCGACCCGTAGAGTAGCTGCGACTGGAGTCAAGGTCGCTTCCTTCGGCAGCCTTATTACCTCCCTGTTCTTCCCACATACTGATACGAACTCAATCTCTCGCTCTCTTTATCTTCAATCTCACTTTTCACTATACCCAGAAAACATATACGGAATCAATAATTCTACAGCATAGAAAAAGGTAGAATCTATAAAAATAGAAAACCCATTTGCAGAAAAGCTTACAGAGAAACAATAATAAGAATATACAGAATTTGTAGAAGAAGACATTGATGATATAGTGAACTGTAGAAGCCTACCTGATAGCAAAGACTCCTCCATTTGCGAGTTGATGATCAAACTGTGAAATGTATTGAATGATTTTATGTGCTAATTTGCTTCGCTGGTAAGGAAAAGAAATTGAAGTCAATCGCCCGATGTTTCAGATTATCTATGGGGTACACACGCTCTGTAGTTTTTGTCTTTCTTTAGTGGTTTTAGCTGGCTTTTATGCATCGTAGATTATTAACCCTTTTTTTAAAAACTTTATTTAATTTATATTATAAGGGAGATAGGTATTTGAATTTTATTCTTATAGTANTAAAAACTTTATTTAATTTATATTTATATTATAAGGGAGATAGGTATTTGAATTTTATTCTTATAGTAATTATTATTTATGTCTGAAAACACGGAGTAATAAAACAAATAGTTAACATATTTATATTTATACCTAAAATCAAATTACAAACATAATGAGAGATAAAAAAATTTAAGCACCGATTATAGTGGGATAAACAGTGATAGGCGACAGTAATGATAGTAGAAAATAGTGATAGTTGTGGTAGGTAAGATGACGACCACGGAGATGGTAGCAGTTGTGAGTGGCAATGGTGATGGTGATAGAGAGTTTTGAGTGACAATGAGAGTAACGGCCGTTATGAGTGGCAACGGTGGTGGTGGACAACGGTGATGGTGATTAGCAGTGGTAGTGGTGGGACGACGACGGTGGTGGTGAGCTGTGATGATGGTGGTGATGGGCGACGATGGGTGTTTCTAAGCGACAATGTGATAGATGGTGTCGAATGGCAGCGGCGGTGATGGGTGGTGGTGGGTGCCGACGGTGTAGAAAACTTAAAAATGTTAGTAATTATGCCTCTAAATTAATTTTTATATCAATTGAGACTCTAAACTATAAAATGTTAGTAATTAAGTCTTTATGTCAGTAGTCATTAGGTTTTTGAATGGAATGTCTCGCATGCTAACCACATAGATGACAAGTTAGGAGTATTTTAAATTGTTCGTTTGAATCCTATCAGACAAAGAACCGCATTCCTTATATCCATCATCAGAAACCCTAAACCTAAATTTCTTTTATATCCATCAAACGAAACAAATCACTAAATTCTTCGATCTAGTGTAGAAAGTAGATTTACATAAATGTAAGCTTTTCGAAGAGCTTGTTGATCTTGCTAGTATAGAAAACATATTACAAGCGCGTGAAACATTATATCAAAAAATTTAACAGCTACTGACAGAATGACTTAATTGTTAAAATTTTAGAGTTTAAGAGTTTAATCTATATCTATACTTATGTGTGAAAATTTTTTGTTTGATTAAAATAACCTTTATAAAACAAGTAATGCCAATTATAACCTATCCTTTCATGTCCAATGGAAATGAACAACCCTATTCAAGTTTTAAATAAATACACACATTAAATTAATACAGTATTCAAGTTAAATATCCCTATTTCATTTGGGCTCTTACTCTCCCACAACATCCACCTCTCTCTTTCCTTTTCTTCGCAGTGTCCAATTTCTTTAGCAGTCACTTAAGTATGAATGTGGCGTACTATAAATTCCAATGCTGTGGAATTCTTCTTTCCATCATATTTTAGCCACTTCGATATACACTATATCTCTATCTATATCTATATCTATTTTTATACTATTTCTAAATATACATATATTAAAAAAACTTTTTTTTTCACTCTTTTATCCTCTACCAACTCTTAAATATCCGAAATACCACGCACATGAATAAGTAATCATTTTATATATTTATTTGTTGAGTGTCTCTTTTTCTTCACACCACCTATTAAATTTTGAATAAATTCCACCTCACCCATGAAATTTCATCTAGCTTTACATGCACAGATATTTCATATAGACAAACAACTTAAAATAATCAAAATTGTTAGGTTTTAATTATCCATTCCATGGACCGTTGCTGATCAGTAAGGTAGACCAACAACCAAATGTAAATGCAACGGTGAAGTTCAATCAAAGACATTGATATCCAATGAAAAAGATCAAAAGGACTTCTTCCAGAGTCCTTATTAACCTTCTCTGTCACTTCCAAAAAAACTTCTCTCCGTGTGCAAACTTTGATGTATTCACTTCATGCTTTACTTCCTATTCCTTCAATATGAAACGTCTTCTCCTATTTTTTCCACGGTATTTTAGAATGCTTTTGGGATTGTTATTTTTTCATGTCTATTATGCTAACCCCTATGCGTTGTTGCAGCTGGGAAACACAGATGCTCTCATCAAAATGAACGATATAAAATATAGTTTTAGATGCATCACAGAAGATAAAGGTCAGAGTTTGCATAGATCTGCTTTATGTGTTATGCATCCCCCTAAGTTCATAATTTTTTCTTTAATTTTTGGGGTGAATTTATACTCTGGCAAAATATGTGGCATGGTATGTGGGGCAACAACAAAAACTCTAACACCTAAAGCTAGCTAGCTCTATATAGTTCAATTTGTGCTTGATTTTCAGTTGTATTTTAGTGAAATATTTTGAAGTGGTGATCAAAGCATCAATGAGAATGGATGAATTTGTAAATGTGAGGTGACGACTGATTTATGTGGCGGATTTTGATTATCATGACCACCTGTAGTATTATTGTCATCAATCTTATCTATAGGAAAAAGTAGTATTGCGCTATAGTATCACTTAAGGTGTAACTACTACAAGGGATGTGGTGGAAGTATTTAGAAGGCGTAAGTCAGTGAAATATACATACAGCAAAAATGATGAAAGAAAATTTTAGTGCAATGTGGTTTGCTTCTTGGATTTGTATCTTGGGTGAAGCAGTGTTTTCATTGAAATCAACTTATAAATGCATTGAAATCTTAGTTCATTTTGTTAAAGTATTGACTTCTTGAGAGGCCATCAAGAACTGTGATCTTATATCCTTGCTCGACAGAAAATAAAATAAAGCAATTTATCACTATACTGTAACAGGCAACTCCTGTGTGTTTACATATGTTCAGTGATGGTGTTAATCTTATGTTCATTTGGATGATTTGATTCTAACATTTATGCGATTGGCAATAGTTAATTTGGTAACTTTTGTTTATTGGTTTGCACAATATCTATGTTATGCAAATAACAAAATATACAATGCAGTGAAAAAAGCTACACAAGATGCTGTTCATCGCTTGATTTGGTCGCCTGAGTGGTCGTTGAACAGCGTCAATGCCAGAACTGCAAACTGATTTACAGATTTAAGGCAAAATTCTCAACTGCCCCGTTTACAAAATCCGTCCTATTCACGATTCTTGTCCAAAATTGACCCATTTTATGATTCTTTGGCGGTTTGATTTCTTAGGTTGTCCAACTAAATAACCGGACTGTTTTAGGTCTCGGTATACGGTTCAACCGATCGGACCAATCTGATTTTGATAACACTTTCTCGCATTAAATTGTCATTGGTGTAACAAATACTAATCAAAGGTATTTTAGTTAATTAAATATTAATACAGTGAAATAATTTTCTAATTGATAAAAGTATGTATTATTATAATACTCCATTTTAATCTTGTATTTTGTACATCTGTGTTATATTAAACAATATTCTTTTATCCAATCTATTTATTTCTAATACGGTAACCAAATAAGTCCTTAGTGTATTGGGCTCAAATTATTTGATAAATTTATTATTAGTGATAAACAAAACATAAGTAGAAATGTTAGTGATGATTAAATTAGTGACAAACCAAATCATACAATAGAAATAGAAGATCATGAAAAAGTTTAAAGAGAAAATGAATCGGAAAAAGAATATGTATTTATTGATAAAAAGTCCAATTTTGTTCCAATAAATATATATGACCCAGAAAATTGGAAGAACATTGATACAAAATTAAGGGATTTGTTAGATGAAAGAGGTCCAATTAGAGAAAATGACTTAGATTTTCCTAAAGATGAAAATAATAGACATTTATCTACCATACATTACATCTGAAGAGTGCAAGATAGAGAAAAACATGGTAAGAAATGACTAGTGTATTCAAAAAATTTGGATAGATATTGTTTTTGTTGTAAGTTACTTAACTCAAAATTTAGTACAAGTCAATTAGTTAACGAAGGATCTAGAAATTGGAAAAATTTTGGTTGTAAACTTAAAAGTCATGAAACAAACAATGACTATTTTATGAACATGAATTATTGGGTTGATTTAAAAGTAAAATTGTCAAGAAACAAAACAATTGATAGAAGTGTTCAAGAACATCTTAACAAAGAAAAAGAACATTGGGAAAAAGTGTAAATTAAAATTACTGCCGTGGTGAAAAATTTTGCTAAAACTAATTTGGATGCTGCTATAGATCAATTAAAAGGACATGTTTATTTTTCAGAATCATTTAGAGAGAATGGATTTAATTCTACTTTGATCTCATCAAAATATATTGCAATAAAAATGGAAATAGAACTTGTATTTTGTGAAAAATGTAAAATTTATAGAAAAAAGACAATTTGATGATATTGTTGATGATGAGATAACACACTCACCAGGACAATTTTTTTAGAATTTATTTGTGAGACCTGATCAGGTATTGCATGCATATTTGAATAAATTTGTGGGCTAAATTATAATTATATGAAATTATTCAATGATTAATTAAATTAAAAATATTTCATAAATATGATGTGTGTGAGCATACATTGGGTATGTGGACTTTATTAGTGATGTATTAGTGAGACTCATTCATAGGAATTTCATGTGTGAAAAAATAGTGGGTCAATTTTAAAATTTCTAAAGAACTTTGGGAGAGGCAAGTGTAATTACCCCCACGTGATTCAGCCTTTTATGTGTCACCGTATTAAAAAAAAACGTGGTTGTGTATGCCATGTGGTTGTGTATAAAGTGTAAGGTGTGGGTGTGGGTGTGGGTGTGTGTATACTTAAAAGTTTAAAGATGTGTCGTGTGTGTGTGTTTAATATAAAAAAAACATGTGTGTGTCTGGTTCTTCGCTGAACCGCGAGTGAGGGAGGGTGAGCAAGAGTGAAAGAAAGAAAAATAAGTGCGTGCGTTCATTTGAAATGTGCGT